CATAAGCATGCTCTAAGAAGCATCTAAATTGAAAAAAAAAAAAAAAAGGGATGGAGAACAGTTGATTAAGATGATAAAAAATATTTACATTAGGACGAGAAAAATAAATAGACACAATACAAATTTTATTTACAATAGCAGCAATGACTGATAAGTCATCTCCGAATCAGGGTAGTGGAAATAAGGAATAGGGGAGATTATTTTTAATGACTATGGCAACACCGCCATAGCCGACAGATCTGTCACTCCTGTCGGAGAATAACATAACCTAGAATTCGAAAAGTCAATTCCGGGCGGAGCCATGTTTCCGATGGAGTTGAGACGAATGGTTCAAATTTATTATGCAAATGGATTAAATCATTTTCATTATTGTTAAGATTACTGTTTATAAAAGCTTAATTTAATTGAGTTAAGGAAGCAATCGTTGGGCGGCGTTGTTCGGTTACGTTGTTTTCAGAGTTAGAAATGGATTTAATTTCAGTCAAAAGTTGGATTAAATCAGAGATTATGTCATTATTGTTAACGTTACTGTTTATTAAAGCGACCCCGTTAGAAGGAGCTGGAGCATCGTAGTCCTTTATCAAATTGAAGTGTTTTGTTTTGTTATACCCCAGTCGTTTTAGTTTGGGGGATGTTGGTTTAGCAAATATTGTTTTCTTATAAGATCTACTATACGACGGAATCGAGGGAGAGGAAGGCGATACATGTGGGACAGGAGAATTAGGAGTTTTCTGGATGTTTGAAAACTTAACTATATCAGCAAAAGATTTTGAAACTGGATCATAAACTTTATTTGCTTCTGCGTAAGATACACATCTCTGAGCCATATACAATTAAATTTTAGTCTGCCGTTCTTATTCTGGACGCGGAATCATCTTGTATGTTGCATGTGTCCCCAGTATGACCTTGGTCACACTTGTAACAGCGGGGCCGAGAGTTACAATTAGACTTAGTATGACCAAATCGGCAACAAGAATAGCACTGAATAGTGGGGTATGCGTAAAGTTCCACGGGCAGGGCATTGTAGCAGAGAAATACATGTTTAGGTAGGGTTTGAGCATCGAAAGTTATTACAATAGTCTGTGATGGCTTCCACTCTGGAGGGCTGCTGTTACGTACTTTATAATTTAGTCGTCTAATTTTTATAATTCCTCCGCTGCCTACAGGCAGAGAGATGTTGTCTAATATCTCTTCGGGAGACCATTCCGCGGGGACGCCTCGCACCAGGCCCATTCGGGTCACATTAAATGAGGGAATAAAAGCTTTGTAATTATTTCTTGCCAGGCAAGGGTTATTAATAAATTCGTTTGCACATTTGTGGTCTGAGGGAAATTCGGTTTCTGCCTATCCTTTTGATGCTACCATTAATTATGTTTTCAAAAGATTTTTTCTTGAGGAAATACCCAAATTGAACGGGGTGTAGGTAGGGGATGTCCGTATCTGAAGAAACTTTTTGCGCATGAACTACGAATGGCCCTATGTCATAGGCCTCATAAAACGTTCGGCCTGTAGGATTTTTTATGGACTGAGTAACGTCTGATGGAGGTGATGGGTGCTGTTGGGTATAAACAGTTGTAGTATCTACACGGTCTACTTTGTTCTGAAAACTATCTAGAGCATTAGCGTTCTTAAGCCCAGTATATATTGAGGGAATTTCATTTTCCGGTATTTGGCACGAGCAATCAGTGTCCTTTTGTTTGTTCAGACGCGTCGGATCGAATCTTTTTTTCCTTTTCTTGCAAATTTTGCCTAGTCGCATTCTTTTTCGGTCACTCCGTTGATCCACATCTGTATCTACACTGGACTCGTCCAGTTTAGAAAATCTATTTTCTATTATAATATTACAAGCTACCTCGGGGGGCGAGCCCCCGATATCCGGGGGCGCGTCCATTTTTTCGCCTGACTCCAGGCCTTGAGGAAAAATTAAACTAAAAAAAATTAAACTACTCCATACAAATATATACAAACTGATCTTTTATACAAGTTAAATTAAATTAAAAAATTTCACAAGAAAAAACACTCCCGCCACGACCAACGTTTCCCGCGCTTTTTTCATTACATTTTGGTGTTTCTATTTATATATTAATAGATATTATTATGTACAGATTATGTTGAGATTATATTATAAATTTTTCTTAAAATATATTAAACCCATTGGTTTCTTTTTTGGCGTTATGCTTCCATTCGAGTGGAGGCAGCAACGCCACATTTGAATTACCTCGTGGAATGTTCTAAATTATACTTTATATATATTATATAACTCCCCACTCTAAAGACGAATTCAGCTTATCACTTTTTTTTTATAGAACTGGGGGCAAACCGGCAGGAGGCTCACCTTGTTGTAATTTTAAGTGATACCGCCGCCCATGGACACTCAATGCCAGAGGGCTTGCGAGTGCGTTGCCAGCCTTTTACGAATTGGTACGGTCTTTTCTTGAAGGACCCTTAGTCGAATTGGTTCGGAAATACTTCAGTGGGCAGCTGGTATCACATAGTGGTGGTGCGCGGCAAAAACTGCCTTGAAAAACGCTCAGTTGTGGAACGGCGGGCGTCAAGGTGATACAGGTGGAATTTCGTATTATGCCTCGACGTCCGATCTCTACGCAACGCCAAAGAAGAGGGATTTATTGCCCATTTGCCTATTTTATAGCCATCCGATCGCCTTTTTAGGGATCAGATGTATCTTAGCGGTCTTCCAGCACTTCGGGGAAGTGCCGACCGAGTAAAGGGGCGTTAGGACCGGAGCCAACTCAGGAGCACAAGTACGCAGCACAATTGGGGGGATGCCATCCGCCCCGCTCGACTTATGAATGTCCAAGGTAGACAGTGCTTTGCGGTTAGCACGTTGCCAAAATATGATTTCTGGCATCGTATATATCGAAGGATTACGAAATGGTCGGTGGTGATCTCCCTCGGTCATACAAAGTCGAGTTGGACGCGAGAGATAGGCCAAAAAGTCAGCCTTTTCCTTCGCGGGTCATCCTCCCTGTGCAGTGGTGGAATGGAGGGCTGAAGAAAATTTCCTTGGACGGGTTTGGCAAGAGACCAGATGGCTTGAGTCCCCGAAGGCTCGAGTCCCAGAAGGGACGTGGGCCAAGGGCAGGACGCAAAGAAAGACCGCAACCCGTCCCAATCTGCCGAGCTATAATGCCAATTACGGCGACAGCTCGCAAAGCGGGCCGTGGAGGGCGCGTAGTAATCCGGAGGGGCAGAGTACTCCGGAGGGGCAGAGTACTCCGGACCACGCAATCTTACGTGTACGTCTCGCCATTTTACGTGTTAGTATTCACTTAATTACATGCATGACAATGGATACAAATCATAAATTAATACATAATACTCGGGCAAAGGTTTATGTTTCATCGACAGCTTAAGTAGGCGCATTCTTAACTCAAGCTTCCCGCGCTAAGTATTGGATTCTTTGCCTCCCAAAATATAGTGTCGCCACACAACTTACCTACTTTGCACGGAGGTAGCAATCTGGCTTCCTTTAGAAGTCATCATGTTATTATAAACTTTACTACGTAGTTAAGTACTAATTGAGAATTAGTCTAAGTGGTAATTAAAATAAAATTTATAAATATAAACACTTTATTTGCATTATTAATGTTTAGTCTTTGCACATTTATATTATAATTAACACGTTATTATATATTAGATTTAATACATTTTAAATTAAATTAACATTTATCTTTACTATCACATCGATTTCTAACAACGAAAATTATATTTTTTCTACTATAACTGCAAATCATAGAAATCTTAATAAGTACTAAACATGTCTCGGTCGCCGATTTCTTCTAAATATCACGTTTATAATTGTTCAATTAGAGTTCATCACGATGTATATTTATTTTGTGAACAATATCAATAGATATTATGAAGAACTAGAAGATAGTATAATAAGCGAACAAAAAAAAATTTGCCATTTGAAAAGTGTTCGATACCTACACCATCGAGTAAGCATTTTCAGAGAGCTATTAAAAACTACAAAGCGAAGAGAAGAAGCGTTTGTTTCATGTTTTACATTATAAGAAACGCAGGACCAATGCTGTTGATTAGAAGTCGGCTCTCACGAGTTCAATCAATATTGAAGCGACACATGAAAATATTACATACAAACGTTAACTTTTCAAGATTTAAGCATTTTAAAGAACATAAGTAAAAATGATTGCACCTTTAGCTATCAACAAATAATAGCTATTCCAACTCGGGTTAAATTTAACTAAATACAAAATATCACTCTATCCCTGGGCTAAGAATTATATTCAGCGTTATAGTCGATAATAAAATCATCGCAGAGTCGCTGAAGAATCCGTGGAATACACATTTATAACAACAATAATCTTCTCACGAGGTAAGGTTCCTTCGATTCTCAGATTGCTCACTATCATTACAGTAGTTTTAAAAAGAGAGAGAAATGCCTTCAATGTTGTTTAGAAATTGTATAAATAAACAGAAAAGGAGATTAATAATTGAATAGTAAAATAAACTCTCACGAGGGATATCCCTATAATTTTTATACAATATTTGGCATTGACTTTGGCTTATATCTTACGGTAATTCTAAACAGCTTTAATAACAATGATAAACTCTGTGGACTGTGGCACAGATTTACAATTTAGGAAAAATTTACCGCTAGCTCCACGTGCATAATCAACAGGTATTGCTCGCTGGGTTGCCGATATAAATGGTTGGTTCAGCTTCACGGCTTCATGCCATGGGCTTCTCCTATTCTTTAATTCAAGTATACGTGTCCACGGGTGGGTTATACATTGTGTGCAAAGTGAATTACAAAATTGTAACAATGCTTACAATACTCACTAAACGTTTAACACATCAAGCTAGTACATTTAACACGACGTAAAAAGCACACATTATTTTTTGAAGGTAATTCTACCAGAAGCCTTTTCATAGCTTCTCTCTCTCATCTCATCTAGGCTATGAAAAGGCCAAGTGAATTGACAGTGGGACGGACTAGCAACGAGATTTGTTTTCAATTATGGAGTAGCCGGCTCTTCTTCTTGATTATGCTTCGCCAGAGCCAAAAGTATCATTGTCAATTGTTTTCTACTTATTTTCCCTTCACTGCTGTATTCCAGGCCTTGGAGAATGGTCTCTTCGAATTCGAGCAGGTCTTGGGCGTCGTAGTCCTGAAAAAGCCAAATGTACTCGTTACTTTCAAAACAGTATTCGGCGTTAACGACCCTCCTTATAGAAAACTCCACCCAGAAATACCTCACTCAATACTCACCTTTTTTACCAATTCTAAGAGGTCTTTGAGAAATCCTTTTAACTCTTCATTTTCTATAGATCCGTTATTGTCCTAAAAACAGTTTTTGCATGAATTAAGGATCGTCGTACAAACATTTTATCGAAATAATAGAAAACTTAGCTAAGATCCCGAAACGAGAATTAGCACGAACTGTGCCTTCCGAATGGCAAAATCCAAATCCATTACGTTTTTATCATACAGGAGTCACATTTAGCGCTTGGTGTCCTTTCTGAATATCTTTCCTAGATCAAACTAACGTTGTTATTTGAATTCTGACTTAGCTAGACTGAAAGATTTAAGATCAGCCTGCTGCGTCTGCTACCGCGGGGCTTGCAAAAGGCCGATTCGAGAGACAGCGTCGCATGCCAATTGTAATAGGGATTCGCCACTTACTCTGTCATAAAGTGAAAAAACTCTTTCGATGTCGTCCTTAGTGAGCTTAGTGGCGCCCTGTGAACATGTCAAAGAGAAATTTTAAAAAAAATTGTGAAAAAATTCGGTAATCTTGATCCAAAACTGCCCGCAATCGTCATCCAACAAAATGTTCAACAGGTCTGTGTACTTATTATAAGCACGATGCAGATATTAAAATTATATTTCTAACTAGCTGTTCCCTGCCACGCTTCGTTGTGGCACATTGTGATTGAATGGTTGAGAAATGAGAAACAAAACAAAGAAAACATTTCATATAAGTTTAATTTTGCAATACTTGCGGAAAAATAAATGAAAAAAACAATCCTTGATGCGGATTATATATCATGCTAAAATTTCAGCTCGATCGGTGCAGAACTTTTTGAGTTTTTGAAGCGTACACAAACCACCATAACATTTTTATGTATTCTATATATATAATAATGTTTAACTCTTGTAAAAGTGGGTTTTCCTTAAATGTGAAATTAAAGTAAATAATAAATATAATAAAAGAGAAACAACGTCATACGGAAAGATCGATGGCTAAAAGTTGTCAAACGATTCAATTGTTTTGAACAAAAATATTGCACAGAGCAGTGTCCTAGACATCAACCTCCACTGCAAAACTATTATTGCGGCATTCCATATTTCAGAGCTCTTTCTTGCAAAAAGGACATTAGTCTAAAAAAACAAAATATTCTACTAAGTTTTAATTATGTACTTTGTTCGGGCTTCTAAACTTTTCCTTCCAACTTATTTATCAACACTCGCGCGTGCTGTAATCGTCGAGTGTATACAATCCTGGTAAACCACAATATTAAAGAAAAACTAGGCCGTCGAGGCGCCATCATCATTCATTGTGGGCTAAACAAAAGCTTCTCTAGTGGTAGGGCTATTCGAAGATTCCCACTTTCTCAACACATAGTTACAAAACTAATGCACTCGACTAGTACATGCTCAAAAAAACTACAAAAAAATGATTACTCCGATTGAACTGTTTGTGGTTTAGGTGGCTGACGACGAAATCGTAGTTTAGTCAGCGTATCTTCGTTTGACATGCTTTATTTTCTTAAACAATATTTGCAGAAGAGTAAAACTTAATAAATAAATGAGACGTTGTCCAAGTATGCTTTTTAAAGTCGAGATTTGTATGACCGGTGATGTCGCTCAATAATATCTTTTACGAAGACTTATTTCCTGTAAGACACCGTTTATGAAATAGAGGTTGGAATTTGATGAAACTAGTCACGTCTTGGACTACGTTCGGAGGACTCACCTCGATGCCTTCCTATGTGCGTTGTGCAGACAAGCAGCCGTGTAGATAGAGAGAGAGAGAGAGACAGGCAAATCAATAGTAGGTGTTTCGGTATATATATTTATTTAGTATAATTTATGTAATTAAGGAATATTGGTTTTATTAGTAGAAGTATTTTTTTTCAAATTCTACTTGTAATTGCCATTAAATCGTGACATTCTGATAGAAATATGAAAGTTAAATTTAAATATGATTTCGGCATAAGCGTAAGCCGATACAAATGTCAGTGATGAGATATGCCAAGTTAATTATGTGATGAATGAAAAATGGCCACTTTGCAATAAAAAGTGAGCTTCCCTGTATAAAGCTTGTTTATGGAACTTTGCAAGCTTTTTATCACTTAGTTGCAGGCGTAAGCGGAGTTTGTGAATTCGAGGAAACCGAGTTCTAAGCTAGTAGGTGCCGAGCGACGCTCACGTTCCCAGAATTAATTATAACACATTGTATTGTTTGGAATACGTATGATTCAGTATTACTTTATAATTAAAAGTAATAAAACCTTAAACTGAAAATTAATCTTCTTCGTTAAGAGCAGAAGCTACAACACGCATTTTAAAGATAATTCCTTGAAACCTAGCCCACAGATCGTCGTTGTTCTTTTATAAATCTATTATTTTTTTTTCTTTGGAGTTCATATTTAATGTCAACTATATTAGATTTTACAGTCTCATGTAAAAAAGTGCGATTGCAAAAAATTTGAAAAGCATGCTTCGTAAATTGCATATATATATATAGGATTGGTCTAGTCTTCTGACATTTAAAGAGCGAAACGAAACAATAACGGAATAAGACAGCTATATCTAAGGAAATATTTAAAAAGTGAAAAATGTGCAAGGAAATCAATAATAATTCATACAATGTTAGCCAATGAATGATTTGCGAGGAACAATGGCGACGCTGCTTACGTTGGCGAGAAATTAGACGTCACTCACCTTGAACACTTGTCTGCAGAGAAAATTTTCTTTCACTGGTAGAAGCCTTAAAATAAATATTTTCTTAATTATTATTCCGATATGACGATTGCTTCATTATTTTGCAATTATTTTCTTTAAGCCTTCATCATTTTTATTTTGCACAAAAGTAGAATGGGAAGTGTAGAATAAACAAGTGCAGTAATATAACAAATAGCTAAATTACAAAACTTTGGTTTTTACATCCAAGACGTTTCGACGTCCTTTAAATAGCAACTAATAAATTAGTTAGTTTTTAGATCAACAAACAGGTAAATTAATGTGGAGAATTGACTTGATTTACACAAATACTCACTTCGCCATTTCGGAAAGCTGAAGTCTGCCGTCTTTGTTAGAGTCAAAAACTTGGAGCTGCAAAAATATGTCACTTATATTAATACATTTTTTAGAAAATTTCCAGTCAAGCCCTAGTTAACGTTTCCTTATTGAAAACTGAAATAAACAAAGATTTATGTCATAAAATAGTGTACACTCACCATTGTATCGGTGTACTCGATTAATTTATCTTCGGATACGTCGTTTATTTTTTTCGCCTCTTTCAAGAGATCGCGTAAGAAATTCTAAAAAGGACAATAAATTAAATGGTGGAGGAGTAAATTGATTTCGAGGCCAATACGTGAGTGGCTCATTATTTTGCTGATTATTAAATAAAATAGTAGTAACAAAGCAACCTTAAGCTCGTCGGCTTCAATGAATCCACTTCCATCAGTATCGTATTCTCGCCAAATCTGGAACATGGTGCGGGTTGTTTTATAAGCCGCAGCTCTCCAAACATCTCTTTATCGTCGCAACGACATCGAGATACAAAATAGGCATTTAGTTTCACTTAGAGGGAAAATAAATAGTTATTAGGTAGATAGCTAAGGTAGGTGACCTTACTATACAAAAAAGAGTAATAGTAAAAAGTATTTAAACGTTTGCAGTTTGTACCTTCATAAACTCGACGCTCGATTCTAGAGGGTTATCAAACCTGAACAGAAGGAGAAAGTTTTCCTCCATGGGAAGAAGTTGGGCCAACTGAAATATAAATAATTCACCTATTTTCTCACAAATTACGGTCAATCGTTGTGTAAAATACAAATGATTCTTTCTTATTGTATTTCTGCGTTGTAATAGGCCTGTATTAGGGAATCATAATTTCTCACCTCCCGAATATCGATTTTGCCATCTTGGTTATCGTCGTAGGCTTCCATAAAACAGGCTTTAAGTTCAACGAGCATCGAATCCGATACCGCCTGAAAAACGGAAAAGCCTTTTATGTCAAGATTAAATATTTGTAAAACTTATTGACACTACGTATTTTTGGGCAATCGAGCCAAATGAAATATGCAAATGCAGATTGGCATTAAATAAAATCAGAGACGCTCTTGATGTCATACTTACTTAATTAAAAATTTCAAAGGCATCTAAATGTGGCTTTGCAGAAGCATTTCAGCAGTTGGCGGGGTCAAGGGTCGGCGCGGAATAATCCCGGAGTTAATTTAATCATTTTATTTAGACTCTCGTAACCGCGAACGATACTTACATTGTTGCAAATATACCGTTTAATCCTTATTACAACGAAAAAAGTATACTTTACGATCACATCTAAACCTTTTTCTGAATAGAGATAGAGAGCAAGTGAGTTCTCTATGCGAGTACAATGGTTGGCCAATCGTGATTATTTACAACGTACGCTATTTATACTTATACGCTTATGGTATCATCGTAACAACTGCATAGAAAATGTTAAACCGGATTCCGCTGTTTTCCTTTGAGTCCCTGGCACATTGTGAGGCTGGACTCACTGAAAAAGGTTTGGATAAATTGTATGAATACAATATACACGTTAAGCATTTATTTTTTAGATTTCAAGCAAATAGTGTTAGTGTACATTTGGCGAAGCTCCAAGAGGCCAAATCGTGTTCTAACTATCGCATTCACGAGGCCTTCCAATTTCATTGCCAAACACATACTGTACGGGCTGCTTTGTGTGCTGGATGCCTCTCCACTTCCTCAACTCAAAGGTATCATGTTTTATGATTCATAGTATTATAATTTTTACTCATTTATGCAAATTTAGCTTTTCATATTTCCTTTTCCTATATGAGTTGCTTCCACTCAAGTAAGTATATCAATTTTATAAATACAGATTTTTTTGTACTAATTTATGTTACCGTAAGTAACGAGTAGGACCCTAAGCCCTGAGCGATTTTTTTTTAAAACCCGGCGAAAAGTGAAACTGGAAAAAAAACTTCATATTACAAAAGACATAAAAGTCTTCTGTTCTAAAATCTAAGTTTCAAGGTAAAAATCCCGATTTGGCAAGAGAAATTGCGCATTTCAAGTTCATAGGAACCAGCTGCCATCAGTTTTCATACCGGCACGTGTTATGCAATTTAACCAATAAAGCTAGGCAATAAAATGAAATTGTAAGCAAGAGCTCTGGCAAACCTCCAACGTTGCCAAATCACAGACCACATGAAAGCGAAGGCTCGAATAAAACCCCTCGTTACGTTTATTCTGGTTTTCTTTCTTCGGGGGTCAAACCTAATCTCTCCGCTCTAGTATTAATTGTTAGTATTAATTTCCTAACCTATCCGAACTAAAACATATAAGTTAAACAGTGAAAGTTTCTTTCTTGGACACTAAACAAAACTGAACAAAATTTAATACTAAATACTATTGTCAATTCTTTTACTAAGTATTGGAATAAAACAAATTTATACCTAATCCAACGTTATCTGATCGCTAACAAAATGAAGGATATCGCCTTATCGTGTCTGTTATCTATAATGTAAACATTCGCACTGAAGGATATTTCGTTTCTGGATCGGAACCTTCGAATAATTTGAATAATAATCTTAGCTCAACAGATTATTATTCAAATTATTCGCATTGAAGAGAAATCATGTTGTGCATTTGCAGTAATTGTCATATCATGTATTCCTTAGGAACTATAGTCATGATAATATGCAATGATGTCATCTTTTCGCAGAAAACACCAGATACCGGAGTAAAGTACTGTTTACAAATATGAATCTCGTACACATGCATTTAAAAGTATGTAATGTTTGATTTGAATTAAAATTAATTTTAATGAAAGCGCCGACCTATTGTGACCTGGATAAGGAGGGAGGTTGTAGTTTATTGTTTATCAGAATGCCAAATCTTTAAATGACTGCATTCCGACTGATTTGAGCGCGACCGCCGCTGCGAGTGTGAGTTCGAAAAGTGAGTTACAGAATCGCAAGGCTGATATATTTACCTATATGACATTACGTATCCGTATGCATTAAATAATTTAAAGAGCCTAAACATACATTCAGAAACAAGTTATTTCGCACTTTTTCATCGTCTGACAAGTGCATTAAAACAGCTTCCTCAGTTTTGTAAGAAAAAATAATAAAGTTACATAACCATACGTATAAGATGAATACACGGCTTTAATCAAATGACTGATAAGTAAGATAATGGTGCGATCGTTATCGTCGCGATCACTTCTACATATAGTTTATGAGACCCTTGTCGTGCCAAAATGGTGAGTGAAAGTTTTATTGCAATAATCATCTTGAATCTGTGTCATTAAATTACAAGGAATTAAACATAGTTTTTAAATAGATTGAGCGTGATTTTTACGGAATTGCAGCCGTTGTTTAGTTTATAACAAATGGCATAATAACAAAGTTGTTTAATCTCTTTTACAGATGAAGTTATTACTAGTTGTTTGTCTGGCAGTTGCGTCTTTCACTAGTGGTGCAGTGGTGAGACCCACTAACAGGTCTAGCTTGAGCGTGGGTTACATTACAAATGGCGACCGATTGCTGCATAGGTATAGCGTATAATATAGCGATTTTATTAATATTAAATATGAACGATGGTGATACATCTTAACCGAATGCCTGAATTTCAGACAGTATCTGAACAAACAGCCTGTCCCCAACGCTGTTCAGTACCAGGACTTCATATTCCGTGGGAATGCTACTACCAGAATAGCAGCGTTGACGGCGACGGAAATAGGCTACAGCCAAAACGCTTACCCTTGGATTACATCGGGGGGGCGTCGGGTACAATTATGCCACAGTAAGGGTTCAAAGTGCAAGGGGTTTGGGCTACTATTACGTCATTGATGTTTGGGGACGATAGTTCTAATACGTATAAGAAGACATTCAATAAAATCAATAGATGGAGATTAGCATTTTTATTTGGATACGGACTAAAGACAGACACCAAGAATTATCTTAGAACAAAATATTTTATAAATCTGTCATTATATTACCTATTTCAATATCACAAACATTAAATACATAACCAAGAACACGTCTCGACTTAGGAGGTCGACATAGGAGTCAACACTTTATGCAAATCAGTTCTTTCCTTGGCGAAAGTAATTCGATACTGTGTGTACACACACGGTATTTTACCGCTGCTCAAATCTTTAATCTACTTCAATTGTCAATGTAATAATATATATATTTAAAATGCATTTTATTCTGTATTTAATAGTTATAGTAATTAAAAGAAATACTTTGATTAGTATTTAATGACTAGTTTCAATCATAATGTTAATGGTTAATTGAAAATGTGCGCATTCTAAGGCCGTTCCTTGACATGAAGTTAACTTTAATTCTGTTTGTAGTTATTATAAAAATATGTGTTTGTGTTCCGAGAATCCACACTCATGGGTCAAGCTCAGAAGTCAGCGAAAGAGATGAGGTGAAGAGTTTGTTGACAGAAAAGCGGACACCTCCGTTGAACGAAATGAATAGCGAAAGAAAGACAGGGGATAGTGGGGAAGTGGCTCTAATGCAATTTTCTGCCTTTGCTGGTGATGGCTGTCCCACGGGTCTCATACGGATCGGCAGGAGATGCATAGCTATTGATTTCTAATACCTGTTAGAGATAAAAGTTTCCAAGTTCCCTTTATCTTTCTATTATAGTATTAAATACAAAAGAAAGTTGACGTTAATAGAGACTGTAAGTTTTTTTACCTCAATATTAATTCTTTAAACAAATGCGTCACAAATATAATATTAGTATTAATAGAGCAAGAAGATATACCTTTTGTTTCTGGATAATATTGGATACCTGATGCTGTGTGTAATTAACTCGCCAACCTAAATTATGTTTTGTCATGGTCATCAATGTTTGACCACGACTTTTAGCAAATATAATTTATTAGTAAATACTTTTTACAAATGTTAATTATTTATATTCTATTTATTCGTCACTGTGTACAATATTGGACAATGAAATAAATTAAAAATTTTATCGCTCAATAACTTTGATCTCAAAAAAGTGGATTTGTATGTTTTCCGTTTGACACTATGTACTTACATCGGGACTGATGTCGGTAAAATTAGCGCTAGAGACGAACTCTCTCAAGAAGCCGTCCAGCTCCGTACCTTCGATGTACCCGTTGCCTGCAATGGAACAATATTGATTCAGAAGTCAGCTGTGTCTGTAAAATTCTAAGGAGAATGGGTTAAAAATATGTTTATTACTAAATAACAATGGGATCGCAATTTGCTTGGACAGTGATACTGAATAATTCAACCTAATTAACTTATGTACGTCAATCTAAGCCTGTAAGTGGATTGATCGAAGCCGTTTCTATCTGGTGTAACTCGTTTTAACAGCGATTAACAGAGAAATGTTGTAAAGTGTATGAAAATGTCAGTGTGGATCATTGAAAAATATCCAGCGCCAGCAGGTTCTAGGGATATAAGATATTCAGAGTTCTATTTGCCGTGAGTGAGAATAAACATTGCAGAGTATCATAAAACTTGCATTCGAAGAAAGCGGAACGCCTCTTCTCTCTAGGCACTGCCACAGACTGTTATTAACCGTTATATATATATATTTATAGAAATAACAAAATATTGCCTGGTTCAACGTTCAATTTTCAATTCAAAAGTAAAATGGTTTTCCAACTGTTTATTTGAATCTGTGCGATGTCTCATCGCGATCTTTTATTCTTACATTTTTCGTATTTTTCGTACATTACTTGTTCAATTGAAATTAAAGAGAAAAGTTCCCGCTTGCCGCATTTGAGTCATTTCTTAAGTTAAGCACATTTATTACAGCTAAGTTAGCTCTTTTCTAGTAGTCTAACTGAGTATATACCTGTATCAATCTTAGTGAAATTTACATTAAGATTTGTGCAAGTTGTCTGTTCGTATGTATTCGTAAGTAACGAGGCTAAGCTGTCTCAGTAAAAAAAAATCAGTGGCGCCACAACTTCTTTAGGTCTGGGCCTCAGATTTCTGAATCTGTTTCATGATCATTTTTTTCAATCTAATAGGCAAGCAGGTGATCAGCCTATTGTGCCTGACACACGCCGTCGACTTTTTGGGTCCAAGACATGTCGGTGTTGTTTCTCACGATGTTTTCCATCACCGCTCGAGCGAATGTTAAATGCGCACATGGAAAGAAAGTCCATTGGTGCACAGCCGGGGTTCGAACCTACGACCTCAGGGATGATAGTCGCACGTTGAAGTTACTAGGCCAACACTGCTCAGCATAATAGCAGTTTTATAAGGGCAGTGATTATTATATCATAGGATTAGTTAAATGCATTCAGGACGGAGAGGTATATTAGATACCTCTCCGTCCTGAATGCTTGCCCGCTCTACGCCCTTGACTTGCGAACTGGTAGTAAATGTAAATTTACAATTAATTTAACTTGACAATTCATAAGTGTACTTGTTTACCTACATGAATAAAGATATTTTGAGTTTGAGTTTGAGATATTTTATATTGTAAGGAATGAAAGAAATGTCACTTTAGTAAAAAGTCAAAACACATTAATTATGTTCGTAAGGCATTCTAAATGTACCTACTTTTTGTACTCAACATTCTTTTATTTACTTTTTAAAAGAAAAAATAAAAATATGTTTAACAGAAAAGGAAATATGGCGTGGCAGAAATCTATAATAATTTTATAAGAAAACCTTGAACATGAACAAATACGCCGGAATATTAATAATTTAATTCCTGTTTGCACGCAACTTAAACTAGTTTTATTAACATTTAATAAGACTAAAATAATTCTCCTCATTTCAATATATTTTAAGTAAAAAAAAGGAGAATTTAATCCTACCCGATAGAGATGAAATGTGCTGCAAATAACTATTCAGAATAATTGAGAATCACATAAAAAATTCAGGATAACAATAACACAAATGGGTTATTATTTGATTAAATAGAACAGCGGTTTTATGAATAATGTAAATATAGGTAACGGTTTTTTCTTGCACAAGAGGGATTCGAGCAAGCCAGGTCACCTTTAATAAAGTCGCGCCCATGGACACCTGCGCCGCAAAGGGGCTTGGTGTTTTGCCGACCTCTTTTCTTCAACGCTTGAAGGTGGGAAATACCTCTACAGAAAGCTGGCTCCATAAGTAAAAGATGCAAAGGGACCTAAGTTCCCTACCCAAAGTCAAAGAATCATGCCGATCGGAAAGAGCAGGGTCATCGGCGATTCGAGTCGCCATGCGTTGGATGCGATCAAATGGTAGGAGCCGGTATAAGGAAGCCCTCGCTGAGAGGTAGAAACAGCACTGCATATAGGGCCGGATCTTTGTGGAGTTGTGAGCGGTGGCCAGGAGTTAGATACTATCCTGTCTGTCTGCTTTAGGCTATTGTTTGTTTTAATAACACTATTGCTTATATTATAACAATGATTTATTGGATCTGCTCAGTGTCTACGCAAAGATAGCCTTTGGCCGCGCATTTATGTCCTAAAAGATATCATGCTTTATAGTATGGGAGGTAGCAACGTTTTCGAGAAAGAACTTCAGGTCAGCTGATTTTGTGATATATATTCCTGCACTTTCGGTTAGAGTCTGGGCTATCTGGCTGGCGGTAGCGGTTGCGTTCATTAGTGCGCATCCTAGCTGTCCAGGTAATAATCCTGGATTTTGAAAGCATTTTAAGAAGCGTAATTTTTAATTTTTCGTTTTTATATAAGTCTACCTGACATACTCTTTTTATTGCCAATGCTAACTATGTGCCAGACGCGATTTTAAGTTTTTTTTTATAAAAATTTCAAAGTATTTTTTAATGTCTGTAATTTTAATATTATGTTATTTAAATATAAGAAAAACTAAAAATTAATTTGCCAGACATTAATTCGATTGTTTATTTATTTTACATTAAGCCTTGAATTAAAATGAAAAAGTCAGTATTGCAGTATCATTGGTAATAAAAACATTTACGTAACTTTTAATAAATGTTATTCATACAAAGTGATAAAGAAAGTCTAAGACGCAAAGTTAATTGTTAAATCTTTCAACCTTAATAAATGTATATAGAATTTTCATCATAATTCAAAATGCACTAAGTAAATAATAAGTATGAAATAACAATATTTGCCATTTAACCTTTTTTAAAATTAAAGGGGTGTAAGGCATTAGGCAAATTTCATAACTCGAATATCAGAGTCAGATCCACGGAGGGAAGGAGCTCCGCTAATTGTTACAAGTTATTTTAAAAGTACACTAAAAAGCACTGACCGTCTTTGTCATAGTGACTCCAGATCTCCATGAACTGATTGGCAGACAATTTCTTTAATTCCCTAGAGTCAGGATCCCGAAACTGACGCATAAAATTCGATGCCTTCTCCAAATTAAACTTTTTAGATGAGGTCGAATCGAGACTCATTTTTATGTGTGTAATAAATTCAGCTGAGCAATCAATTTTCATTTAAATATAGCGAGTTCAGTAATTCTTAATAATTTGGCTTCGTTTATTGTCTGTGCGTGTAAGTTATGTGTTTAAATTACATCCATGTCAAAGATTCCGTTCGTTGAGTCTGGCTCGTTTACATCTGAAACAAAACAGAATACGTTTGAATATTGTCAGTACTGTTCATTAAATATATGAAATCCATCATCCACATTCAGAGTCACGTATTCTGACTCAGCGTAAGACTCGCTGAGTCATTAGAGGATACACAACTTAAACCCATCATTACTATGGCCGAGCTAAGTGTTGCTTTACTTTAGTGACGATCGACGAAGCCGACCTTTTAAATGTAAAATGTACCGCTAACTTGACATGGATTCGATATTTGGTGAGTTATAAGTGGGATCGTAATTATTTATATGAAATCGATACTCTCGCGACTGGGTCACGGTGAAAACTTAAAATGCAAACAATGCCAAAGCCTATTAACGAAGTTTAAGAGCTGCTGCAGCCCAGATTGCCTATGTCTATTGTCTATGCCTATATCGTTGCGAGCCAAATAGGCTAGCAGGCACACTGAAATGCCCGTGCAAACTACACATTTAACGATCATCACGACTGCATTAATAAGCATGTTCATGCACAGGTAGGTTTTACAATTGTACTGAAATATTATTTTGAATTTTGGATGATAGCGGTATCTGGATCTCACGTCGTAACCGCAGCCCATACGTAATACCCCATGCGACATACACCACCTGAATATACCTTTTGACGTGTGCCAATGCCGAGATAACTCACGGGCTAATATAATAAAAGCCTGTATAAAAGCCAAAAGATCTGATTGAAACTAATTGGGCCTTTCAGACCCAGTCAAAGCTATGATAGATTACATTGATGCTTCTATGCCATAGATTTCGATCAATATGTTCAAAGTGCGTACGCCGACTCAACTTTTTAAATAGGTAATATTTTTATAAAACGTTTTTATGTAAAGACTAAAGAGTGTCCAACCCGCGATGAACGTCCAACATTGACAGAGTGTCATGTGAAGTTTCAATTACTATATATATATATATATTATAGTTTTCTTCGGCTTTTATATATGTCAACGTAAAATTGTAAAAACCGTTAGATTGTAATCTATCTCGCGAGATTATAAACTGTCGAAAAATTGTGAACTCAACGTACTGCTTACAATTTAACGTATTATTATTCGGTAGATTATAATCTATCGAAGTGAAATCGTCAAATTGTGAAACAGCGGGCATAATGAAATTAGTAAAATATTTAATTGCCACAACTCGTTGACGTGCAACAATAATTGAACATTTTTATTGGTGCAATTTACTTTCTTATTTTTTATATAATAGACAATTTTGTTACGTTTTCAAAAACGTTCATATGTTTTCGATTTGTTTTTTTTTTTTAATTTTGATTTTATTTTGTGATCATTTTTTTCTAAAAGAAAATTTCATTAATTTTTCAATTTTAATTTGTGTTTGAAGAGAAAATATTGTTACGTTTCTTTATTTTTTTATTTTGATATATTTTTTTTTTCATGTGATGTCAGTATTATTGATTACCTACTAAGTAATAAATACTAATTTTTGAAGTGCATTCATTTTATTTGACCGATACCCTTGTTTCATTCCTAACTCTATGGACATATAACGGTCTACTATAAAGCCGACCAATCAGCGCGCGAGTTGCGTACCGTTTCACTATTTGACGATTTCGCTTCGATAGATTATAATCTACCGAATAATAATACGTTAAATTGTAAGCAGTACGTTGAGTTCACAATCTTTCGACAGTTTATAATCTCGCGAGATAGATTACAATCTAACGGTATTTACAATTTTACGTTAACATATATACGTGGTAAATTCTTGAAGGTTTCATCTTTTCGTCAATACATTTGATTGCGCCGTTATCCTTGTAACAATTCCCATTGTTATTCAAGTTCACCTTTAACTTCGGGACGAGGAAAAGTTTTCTAGAAAACATCCTCGTAACATAATTTATAGTGAATATTTTCCAGCTTCCAAATAAATAAAGTTTTTCATAATTCCAAAGACTAGTATTGCTAAGTGACGGGGCCTCGGATCGAACGATACCAACTCTCCAAGTAGTAGAAACCGTGTTTTAGATTATTACATTTCCATAACCTGCGCAAAGTGACTATTTCATTCAATCTATATTTCATATTTTTATATTCATGAGTTTTTTAAACAACCTTGACAGCGTTTAACTAGTCTTATCTATCTTGTTAGATAGTTGTAGTTTATTATATAAAATAAATTAATATGCTAGAAAAGCGAAAGCTCCTTCTTTAAATATATTTTTCTCTTTGATGTGGCTTAAAATAGGAGTCCCATTATTCAAGTATAAAGTCTAGGGCGGGCAGCGTTTCCTTTTTATTGTTGGGGCGGGTTACGAGTTACTGTAGTCGCTCTACTGTAAAAATCCGGTCACTCCTATAATTCATTTTTACAACTACGCTTCTCCCCTTAAACCTTTTTTAAAGTACCGATAATTTTATTTTAATTAAATTTGGTTGCCTTTTCAATTTCTGTAATAGTCCTATTAAGTATTTATTAGCTCGGATAAAGCATGAAACCATATTTTGCGAATTTAACGTCTATGATAGTTTATTAACTAATAAATAGCATTTCATCTGTTAAAATACGATTATGCATGACACAGTATTATAGAACTGTGTCAGTCAGTAACTCTAATCAGTCAATTTTGATAAAACATTGCGGTGCTATGTACGTATAAACATAATTTATTTATTTTTTTACGTAATAGGAGGCAAAAGGGCAGGGGGCTCACCTGATGTTAAGTGATACCGCCCCATGGACACTCACATTGCCGGAAGGCTTGCAAGTGCGTTGCCGGCCTTTCAAGTAGTACGCTCTTTTTGAAGGAACTTAAGTCGAATTGGGTCGGAAATACTTCAGTGGCTAGCTGGATCCAAATAGTGGTGGTGCGCGGCAAAAACTGCCTTAAAAACGCTCAGTTGTAGAACGAGTCATGGTGATACGGGTGGTATTTTGTATTATGCCTTGACGTCCGATAATGAAAGGCAGCTGCAGGTATTAGTCCGAACAACTCCTCTGGACACTCTCCATGGTAAATGCGGTAGAATATGCAGAGATACCCCAATGTCTACTCAACGCCAAGGGATCAAGCCGCACGGAAAGTGACTGGTCTTTGGTTAGCTGCTACTAGGGAGCTGCCGTTTAGAGGCTCACCTCTAACAATAATTAACTAATTTAGTCTTCTCTTTTAAGTGACCCCGAAACATATTAAGAATAAATATAAGAATTACAAGATGCTTGGGTAGCGTAAAATGGTGTAACTTTACAGTCACATTAAGCATTTTATACATTTTCATTATAATTTTAGTTTTACGTCGTAGCCTCGTAGAGACAGCTACGCCGTAGTATTAGATGTACGCTGCCGAATGTGGACAATTGCCTGTCGACGGAGCCCTAAACTATGATAATAAAATTTCTTCCGCATCTTTGGAATTCTAAATAAAGTTTATAACTCAAGCACAGCGTGCGTTATCACGAAGCCATAGAGACAGCAGATATAACTGTGTTGTTGATATTAATTATAGTTTATATAGTTGGTTACTTAAAAGAAAAAGTGGGTTAACGAATTGAAATGAAAATAAATAAGAAACTCTTGGGAGCTTTCACATTTTCGCTTGAATTAAAAATGCCAAAGCCCTTAGCAAATCTCTAACTTTGTAACTTATTAATTATTCTGAACATTTAAAAGTACTCGGAAACGAGCAAATCAGCACGTTTAACCTTGTGATCATCCAAAAAACCTATTGACACAGACACCTGTGAAATGGAGTTAAGTCAAGGGTAATACAAAATACGTTTTAAGAAGTGCTACTCAGCTTGCCTTTAACAGTTTTATTAACAATGTAACACTCACCCTTAGATCCCTAGCCTCGAGTGTTTTGTCAAGTAATTCTATTGTTTATATTTAACACGAAAGCTACACTATCGGAGAAGACGTGTAGCCACCGCGCGGACAACGGTACGAATGAATGAATCTAGGGGTTGCTCGAGGGCGGAGCTGAGTATTAACCCTCCACCTTCGAGAGGCGCTCTCGGCTTCCTGTTTCAGTGGCAATGTAGACTCCTCAAATCAGCCGGTTTAGGAAAACGTCGAGCTACTTCTCAGAGAATTAAACAGCCGATTTAAAGAGACTTCGCTGCGATTAAATTGTCCTTGAAAACGGAGGTTTCTCATTTGACCGGATGGTTACGGATGTTTATTATCTAGGCAGACGCTGAAAATTGTTTCGAAGAAATATGGTGTGATGGTATGTGTAATTATGTATTATTGCTTACGTAGATAACGCGTTTTCTCGCTATGGTATTTGGTAGCACCATTGCAATTATTCTCACAAATGTTTGAGAATAAATTCATGTAATAAAACAGTGACTTTACACTACTTATCTACGCATTCATGTGTTATTCGTTAAGATAGTTCGATTAAAACGTTTTGATTTTGTTTCTTCGGACTTAGGACTTCACTGTATCTTTAGAAAGAGCAGACGACAGTCGAACTCATAGTCAGAATCACACTGTTGCGCTTTTTTTGCGTTTTGTATTTGTTTATTAGTTAGGAACTTGCCTTTTTTACTCTGTAACACACTGACATTCTTTTGAGTTTAATATAACGCTTTACGACGGGCTGACTCGACAGAAATCATATATTGTTTGTTGTCTACGAATACCTTTAAATCCAGTAAAATGGTTCGGTTGTATGTTTAAATTATTGTGATTTACGTATATATATTATATTAGTAATAAAGGAGGGCTTGTGGCATTTTCATTTTTGTGAGTCCCTTAACTCAAATAGGAACATTACATTCCTAACATAGATCTCAAATCCTCTAGGTATTTTACGGGACCATTCATAAATAAGTAGTGAGGGCGAT